ATGAGCCAACTTGCAGACTATTTAATTGCATTGAAATATATACAAGAATCTTCCAGATTTTCTTGATTTTTGCATTTTGTTTCGTTTTGACATCCAAGATGTGGTCCAACTTTTAACCCGCAATGCCCATTCGTTTGGTCCTCAAGAAAAAAAGACACGTTTACCGAATAGGTTGTCACATTCTTGGCTAACTATTGTGCACTGAGACGAAGGTAGGTCCATCTATTTGTCTTTTTTAATTACTACGCGGTCCGATTTTAAAGGAGTTTTTTTTTTTTTTTTTAATAAAATTGTTGATTAAAATGCACTTTTAATTTCAAAAAAGACGTTTTGTCGTATGTGGAAATTAATCTTTGAGTAATATTATACAACACTAAGCATCAATTTAGGTGATCCCGACCCTTACGATTCAAGTGACAAGGCTTAGATTGATAACGCTAAATTTCAACACGCTAATCATATCGATTGACACAACAAAACCGCGATACAAGTGAATGTTTGTCAAATTTGTTTGACTTTTAAGTGGCTGAATTCGTGAAAGTTTAACTACAAAATTAAACTTCGACCTTTCCGTAAAGTTGTGTGCATTTAGACAAAAGGTGTCCATGACATTGTTTTTCACGTGCTCCAACGTCAAATCACTCTTAAAGTCTCATCACCTGGACTCTTTCTCTCTCTTGCCGACAACGTATCCAAAAAGTAGTTTCAAGATTCACTGCCTGTGGCAACTAGCAATTATAGAATATTTTCTAGAATAATAAAATGCACTAAATTTTAAACAAAATTTGCACAATGAACCAATTTTAGCAGAGGTATGGATTTAAATTTTTTTTTTTTCATTTTCATAGAAGTGTCAAGGATTTTTGACGGTTGTGCTACATTTATATAATGATTTACATATATATGATTTTGTAAAATATAAGGGGGTGTTCTCTTTATATTTCAGTTTTGTATTTTGAGTTTTGAATTCATTTTGAATTTTGTGTTTTGAGATTGTTGAAAATGTGTTTTTTTTGGTATTTTGAAAACATCCAAAACGCGTTTTAAAAATTTTGACTTGATTATAACTGAAAATACCGAAAACGACAAATTTGTGGTTTTAGATTTTCTTTTTAAATTTTTAACTTGTTTTAAAAAAATGCGTTTTCAAAAATAGGAAAGAGAAGGCGTTTTTACTTTTTTGAAAAATCGAAAATAGAAAACAACTTGAAAATGGTAAAAATAACATATCCTAATTGGGTTAGAATTTCTTCAATTAAAAAAAAAAAAACTCCATCACTCACTTTTTAGCACATCATCTGTAAATTATTATGTAACTCTTTATGTACGAGTAATATTATTTGAT